GGGCGGCGGGGATGGGGCCAGGGGCGGCGGGGCCGGGTCCCGGGCCGGTGGGCGGCTCCGCGTTGGGCCAGAAGGCGCGAGCTCGCCGCCCGCCGCGCCGCCACCCGCCAAATCCCGGCTGGCCTTGCGCGCGTGACGTAATTCCGCCGCGCCGGTTGGGACTTCCGGGGGGGGGCCGCAGAGCAAGGGAGGGCTGTCCGGCGGTGGGAGCGGGTTGTGAGGGCCGCCCCGGTGCCTCAGCGAGGGCCACCCCTGTGCACTACCCGAGGGCCTGGCGTGATCTGTTTTTACGGGCCTCAAAGGCACAAGCTGCCGCGGGGGCTGGGTGAAGGCTGGGGCTGGGTGAAGGCTGGGGCTGGGAGTGGATCTTCCAAGTTTGCTTACTAAGGGGGTAAAAAAGTGTGTTCAGTGTATTTTTAGTACTTTTATGTTTCAGACCATTATTTTGAAATGAGGATTCCTTTTCATTTGCAAAAAAAAAAGTTTAATTTCATGCTGCACCAGAAATATGTAGCAGAAAAAAAAGCCCCAACCCAAATGAATTAGAACTGAAGTTAGAAGAAAGACAAACAAATACAATCTTTCCTTATAAAATTTTAGTGTAAATTATGACCTTCTAAAAGGTACCAACCCACCATCCCCTTCCCCCACTCTGCTTTCCTGATGGAGAACCTGCAGTTACAGCCCAATCCCCTCAGGCATTACATGACAAAGCAGGAAATCCCTCCTGTCTCTTCTCAAGATGGAGAAGCGGGTGGCCGCTCGCCAGTGAGGTTGCCAGGGCTCGGTTTTAGGGCCACTACTCTTCAGTGTTTTTATGAGTGATCTAAATGCAGGAATCAAAGGTAAAATAAGTAAATTTGCCAATGGTACTAAACTAGGAGGAGCTGTGGACTCCCTCCAGGTTAGAGAGGCCTTATGGAGAGCTCTGGATAGACTAGAGAGCTAGGCAGCCACCAGCTGAAATTTGACAAGAGCAAGTGTATCTGGGATGGGGTAGTCCTGGTTGTACGTACAAATTTTGGTACGAGGGCCTGGAGAGCACCCCCACTGGGGCAAGTCAGATGAGTCAACAGTGTGCCCTGGGTGTCCAAAGGGCCAACCGTGTCCTGGGGATCATCCAGCACAGCATGACTGGCCAGGTGGCTGGTGCGGCCCCACCTTGAGTTCTGTGTGCAGTTTGGGGCACCTCAGTGTACGAAGGACATCAAACTATTTGAGTGTCGCCACCACCTCCACTATTTGGAAGGTGACCGCGATGGTGAATGGTCTTGAGGGCAAGACTTACGAGGAGCAGTTGAGGTCACTTGACTTGTTCAGCTTGGAGAAGAGAAGGCTAAGGTGTGCCTTCTTGGCCATCTGTACCTTCCTCATGGGGGGTAGTGGAAGAAGGGAGTGCTGATCTCCTCTCTCTGGTAACCTGGGAAAGGAGAAGAGAAGGCTCTGGGGAGACTTCATAGCAACCTACCAATATCTGAAGGGGACCTACAGGAGAGCTGGAGAGGGACTCTTTGTCAGGAAGTGTAGTGACAAGGGGTAGCGGTTTTAACTTGAAAGAGGGGAGATTTAGATTAGATGTTAGGAAGAAATTCTTTGCTTTCCTGTGAGGGTGGTGAGGCACAGGAACAGGTTGCCCAGGGAAGTTGTGGATGCCCCATCCCTGGAAGTGGTCAAGGCCAGGCTGGATGGGGCTTTGAGCAACCTGCTCCAGTGGGAGGTGTCCCTGCCCATGGCAGGGGGGTTGGAACTCAATGATCTTTAAGGTCCCTTCCAACTCTAACCGCTCTGTGATTCTATGACATGAGGGACAGGAGATGCCAGAGGAAGTGGGGGCTGGAGGGAGGGCTCCCCAGGGACGCAGTCATGGTCCCAAGCCTGTCAGACAGATGTCAAGGATCCTCCGGACAACACTCTCAGTGATGCCGTTTAGATTCAGGCGGTGCTGCGAGGAGCAGGGAGTGGGGCTCCGTGACCCCGGTGGGTCCCTCCCGACTGGCGGTGCGCTGTGCCTCCATGCAGGGCTACTCCAGGCTTTCCCAGCAGCGAGGCCAGACGGGCTCCGCCGGAGGACACAGACCGGGGTCCCCGTCCCGGCCGGGGGGCGGCGCTGGCGGAACGGGCGTCCCGGCCGCTTCCTGGCGGCGCCTGTTGTGGTTCCGGGGCAGCGGCAGCATGGAGCCGGCGGTGGAGGGCGGTGAGCGCCGGGGCGGCGGGGGCCTGGCCGAGCTCACCCGGCGATCCCGGCTGACCCCCCCCCGCCTTGGTTTTCTTTCTCCTTACAGACGCTGAGATGATGGGGGCACCCGACCCGGAGCTGGCGGCCACCATGGGCTTCTCCGGCTTCGGTGCGTTGCGGTGCGGGCCGGGGGGCGGCGGCGGCACTCGGTGCGGGGAGGCGGGGGAGGCTGGCGGCTGGAGGTGGGACAGAAGCGGTCGTGGCTGTCATTCCCCCCCACACACCCCTTCCTACCTTGTCCACCATCCTCATCCCCGCCCTGGACCCGCCGGAGTGCCCGTGGCCGGGACGGGTCTATGATCCAGCCTCCTTTTTCTTCATTTTCAGGGAAGAAAGCTCGGACTTTCGACCTCGAAGCCATGTTCGAGCAGACGAGAAGGACTGCCGTGGAGAGGAGCAGGAAGGTCCTGGGTGAGATGCGGGAGCACAGTCAGTTAATGCCTCTTACGCTGCGTTTTGGTTTTCTGACGTGGGGGGACGTTGGAAGCATCTCAGAAACTGCTTTGCCAATACAAATGTCCATGCGTTCTCCCTCTGCTTTGAGTAGAATGTGTGGGTTTTGTTTTTGGTTTTGTTTCTTTTTCTCATGTGATGAGAAATTGTATTGGTTGAGTAGTTCCTATCCTACGAGATTACACTTAACCTGCTCTCTAAAGTGTTGCAGTTTATGAAGTTAGTAGACTTGAAGCACCTTACCATGAAGAAAGCAATCTGTATGAAAGGATAAGATAATTACAATGTTTGTTGTTTTTTATTCTGTTGATTCTACACAGAACCTTAAGAACAGAGCTCGGTTGGAGGTTCGTTGACTTTGTGGACTTTAAGGCACTGTGAAATTCAAAGATGGAAGGGATTCCAAAACTTGATTTGTACCATTTTTTGTGTTGGCTGAATCTAAACACAGTAATGTGTTTCCATGTGGGAAACCTTTTCATATTTGATGGTTCAGGTTGAGCTATCGTTCCTTATGAGAGATCATTTGTTTACACCTTGCTTTAGTTTAGGAGGGAAACCCAGTAAGTGATTACAAATACGTAATAGTTTTAAGTTAAGACATCTTGAACTGTGTCTTGAATGTGTCCCCTCCCTCCCACCTGCTTCCTTCCATAGTATTCCACAGGGATTCTTTTTCAGGAAGTGAAGTGGGAATAAACTCTTAATACAAACTTCTCTTTATATTTATTTTCTGTAAATCATATTTAGAGTTCACTTATTTATACAACTGTGTATTCTTGTACTAATTTAGTTCACGGTGCTATGAAAATGTCAATAACTCTCTGAAACAATCATACTGTTTTAGTATAGTGTTGAAAATCTTGAAATATCAGCATCCTTGTAAGATCAACTTATGTTTGATAGTGTGTAAAAACTAACAAATGGAAGGGCTTCACCTTTTCCTTGTCACATTTTGTTTCCCTGAGTGATCATTGCAGTAGCAATGGAAATTTAATTTATATGGAGAAGTAAGCTGTTTTGCTGTTATAGAATCATAGAATGGTTAGAGTTGGAAGGGACCTCAAAGATCATCGAGTTCCAACCCCCCTGCCATGGGCAGGGACACCTCCCACTGGAGCAGGTTGCTCAAAGCCCCATCCAGCCTGGCCTTGAACACCTGCAGGGATGGGGCATCCACAGCTTCTCTGGGCAACCTGTTCCTGTGCCTCACCACCCTCACAGGAAAGCAAAGAATTTCTTCCTAACATCTAATCTAAATCTCCCTTTTTCCAATTTAAAACCATTACCCCTTGTCCTGTCACTACACTTCCTGACAAAGGGTCCCTCCCCAGCTCTTCTATAGGCCTGCTTCAGGTATTAAAAGGCCGCTATAAGGTCTCCCTGGAGCCTTCTCTTCTCCAGGCTGAACAACCCCAACTCTCTCAGCCTGTCCTCATAGGAGAGGTGCTCCATCCCTCTGATCATCTTTGTGGCCCTCTGCTGGACCCGTTCCAACAGATCCATGTCCTTCCTGTGTTGCAGACTACAAAGCTGGACACAGTACTCCAGGTGGGGTCTCACCAGAGCAGAGTGGAGGGGCAGAATCACCTCCTGGGACCTGCTGGCCACGCTTCTCTTGATGCAGCCCAGGATGGGCTTCTTTCATGAAGAAAATGAGAGAATTTACTGCCCTCAGCAAGCCTCTAATTTTATTGTTTTCTGAAAGTAATGCTTTTTTGTCATTTATGTGTTCTCTCTCTTCAGAGGCTCGTGAAAGAGAGAAGGAAGAGCAAGCTGAAAAAGAGTTTAGAAGCCGAGGCACCGGTCCATCAGCTTCAGCATCCAGTGCAACAGGAGCTGGGTCCTCATTAACCCAAAGGTACTTGGATGTGGTGGGAGATTCCGTGTAACAGCTTTCTTATCTGAACTGGGTTTTTGTGGTGGTGTTTTTTTGTTTTTTGAGAGCAAGCGTGAGTGTCATTTAACTTGTGTGAACATGTCTATGTTATCTGAAGTATTTCAGTGAAATGCTAATTTATTTTTTTTTTAAACCTATGATTTCTTGAAGATCTGTCAATATTTGTAAATATTGGCATTATGATTATTTAATAGCTAATTTTGCAGTCTGGCCCCTAATCCTGTTTGGCATACTTTTTGTAAAAGTCCCAACAATGTTGTTATCAGTGGGTATTTTTAAAGTATTAGGGCAAATATCATGACTAATGTGCTGACTTAGTGAGCAGCTATTGCTCCCACCTGTAGATAGAATATACTTAGGAGAGCAAAGTGGGTGAAAAGCCTCTGTATGCACATTGTATAGGGTAGTAATGGGGTTGAGAAAGTAGTTTGTTTGAAATTCAGTCTAAAATTTACTCTTAAACTTGACAACATTTGTTTGTTATTGACAAACAATAAATACTACTGCTTTGATGGTTTGAATTTTGAAATGATGGTAAATCAAAAGTAACTGAAAGTATTGGGGGCCACACAGCTCCATTGCATGGCAGGGAGGTCAGTGCACTGTAGATTTTTAGGGTTCTATATCTATGGGAGTCTAATAACACATACAAGACACAAGTAGACACATGTATTTCATGGGCTGATAGAGTATACATGTGGTAGGTTACTACAAACAAACCTCTAGTATTTCATACTGTGAACAAATTTCTGTTACAAAATCTAGTTTTTTCCTGTTGCACTGTGGGAAAATAAAATGAGCTGTGCACTCTTACTGAAATAACTGATCACTCAATATACAACCTTATAGATCCTGTGTTATGTCTGGTGCATGAGGGGAAAATATTCTATGCTTCCATTTGCGTAGTGGTCTTAGATACCTATCTGATGAAATAATGAGGGAGCACAAGAATTCAAATATACTGTGGTTATGTACTGTATGTGGGTGACTTCAATATAAAGAATCAATTAAAACAAATGGTAAGGTGGAAAGCAGTCAGGCGGTATAAAGCCTTTCCCTAATCGTCTCGTTTCCCTAAGGGATTTCACAGAAGAGAACTTCAGGGACTTTGTATAAAGGAAGATAACAAATAAGTATCTTTTAGTATTCGGAGTTATTGGCTAGGCTGCTGGCATGGAGTCACCATCCCTGAAGGTATTTAAGAGATGTGTAGACATAGCTCTTCAGGGCATGCTCTAGTGCCTGAGATTATTGGTTTGTGGGTGGATGTGATGTAGTGGGGTGTTGTGTTTTGTGTGGTTTTTGTTGGTTTTTTTTTGTTTTTTTTTTTAAGGTTGGACTTGATGATCTCAGAGGTCCCTTCCAACCATGGTGATTCTGTGATTAAGTTTTCTTTGTTTTTCTTTTTTTGTTTTTAACAAGCATTGAGAAGGGGGGGGCATGACATGAAAAGCTCTTCTGGAAGTTTTATATTTTCTTGTAAAATCTGATATGGAGCTTAGTACTTAGTGCTAAAAACAGGAAGCTAGTAAAGGAGATGTGCCATTGTGACTCAGCTTTAATTCAGAGGAACAATCCTACACCTGATAATTTAAGTCTGAATATAGGACTCTCAGTAGTTCTTTTTATAGTGTGGATTGTAGACACTATAAACTGATCATATATATATAGCTTTTTCTATTATCTGAAAATGGCAACCCTCTCTTCTTTTAAATATTTCAAGTACTTTCAGTTATCATAGCAGCCCTTATACTGATTTTTTTAATTGTTAAAAAGTGGTTGGTCTTTCCAGGGAGATGTGAAGGACAGCTACTGATTCTTTCTGCTTTTGAACTGCTTTGTTGCAGAGAAATGTTTACGATAGTTTTGGTACTTATGTATTTATGCATAATAAATAATAAGTACAGTAATTATGTGAAATTAGAGTATCTGCTAATATATAAAAACTAAAGAACTGTGAAAATAGAGTAGATTATGTAAGGAGAGTGAACACATGGGGGGGATATGCCCACGTAGTTGCACAACTCAGAATGTTTTTTGTTATTTCCCCTGTCCGTGTGGCATCTGTGCGCTAATGTAGGTTTCCTTTTTAACTCTCACAGCTTGTTTTACTTACTGAGGAGGTAATAAGGGAAAGCAGAAAAAAACCCCAAAACCCAATTCCTTACATTGCTCTGATTCCTGGGAAAAGGGCTGGCAAACTGCTGATTTTTCTCTACAGCGTCTCTGGCAAGGCTGAAAGTTGAAGGAAGCACCACTTCTTCTGTCCTTTCTGTCAGCACCATTCCTGGGCACTTTCAGGAGGGTAGTTGGGCTTTTGGTCTGGCTGCATTAGGATGTTTTTAAGTTTGACTTTCTTCCAGTCAGGACAGAGGAGACTAGCAGCTGTAGGTGGAGTGCTTGGCTGTTCCCCGCTGAGCTTGGAGCATACTGAAAAATAGCACTGCAGTTTTGCCCGTTTCACGTGCAGAGTGATTGCACTGCTTCTCAAAATACAGAAATGTTTGATTTTCTCAATTTATCCTTCCTAGCAAATAAGGGAATGGTAAGAATAGGTAAATAGAAAGAAGCTAAGCATTGTTCTTGGGTGTCCATGGAAAGATCTGAAAATCTGGGACTCCGGGATTGGAAAGGGCTCCTTGGATAATTATCATAGAATCATGGAATGGTCCAGGCCAGAAGGGACCTCCAAAGGTCATCTAGTCCGACCTCCCCACAGTCAGCAGGGATACCTCCAACTAGACCAGGTTGCCCAGGGCCTCGTCGAGCCTCTCCTTGAATATCTCCAGGGAAGGAGCCTCAGCTACCTCCCTGGGCAGCCTGTTCCAGTGTTCCACCATCCTCATAGTAAAGAAATTTTCCCTAATATCTGATCTAAATCTCCCCTTTCCCAACTTAAAGCCATTGTCCCTCGTCCTGTCACTGCAGGCCTTTGTAAACAGGCTCTCCCCAGCCTTCCTGTAGGCCCCCCTCAGGTACTGGAAGGCCACTATTAGGTCTCCCTGGAGCCTCCTTTTCTCCAGGCTGAACAACCCCAGCTCCCTCAGCCTGTCCTCGTAGCAGAGGTGCTCCAACCCCCTGATCATCCTCATGGCCCTCCTCTGGACCTGCTCCGTCAGGTCCATGTCCTTTCTATACTAAGGGCTCCAGACCTGTGTCGTGGTTTCAGCCGAAACCGAACCGACAGTTCGCCCTTCTCCCCTCCCCCGAAAGAGGAGAGGAAGAGATAAGGAGATTGAAAAGTTTAGAGTTAACTAAACTACTTTAATGAAAAATTAATATTAAAATAAAAAAGAGAGAATAATGAAATAGATACAATATATATACAAAACCATATCAAGCACCCAGGATGACAGTCCTGTCACCAGCAGGCACTGGGGAAGTCCCAGACTGGACTCAGTGACAGATGGGAACTGGATTCCAGCTCTGGAGTCAGGAACACACGGACGGGGGTCAAAGGCAGATGAACAGACAGGGTCCTCTTTGGACGTCAGCCATTGCAGGAAGAGAGTTGACCCTTTGATCCCTCATCTTTTATACTGAGCATGGGGCAGATGGGATGGAATACCCCTGTTGGTCAGGTTTGGGTCACCTGTCCTGTCCGTTCCTCCCCACAGATGTGACCCCTCTACGTTTTTTCCGTTTCTGACCCTCTAAGGGGCAAATAACGAAAATTGGCTGACCTTGGTTGTTACAGCAATAAGTATAAGTAAGGGCCTCTCTACATACCATTCCTTGGCATTTAGAACAACCGTTGGACCGCCACGACTTTTCAAATATCATGGAAAGTGGCTTGGCAACTACATCAGCCAGTTCCTTCAGGACTCTGGGGTGTATTTCATGAGGTCCTATGGACTTGTATATCTTCAGGTTCCTCAGTTGATCACGTACTATGTCTTGGCTTACAGTGGGAGGGACTTTGTCACCTTGGTCACCACCTTGGCAGTGTTCTCCACAATATGCTGTTAATTTCAGAGAGTTAGAAGAGGCCTAGCTAAAATGTAAAGTTACAGAACACAAAATTGATCTGGTTTTACCTCAAACCAGGACAACCTGCACACAATACTCCAGGTGAGGTCTCACCAGAGCAAAGTGGCAGAATCACCTCTCTGGACCTGCTGGCAACACTTCTTTTGATGCAGCCCAGGATGTGATTGGCCTTCTGGGCTGCAAGTGCACGCTGTCTGCTCATGTTGGTCACCACCTTGGGACCATCAACATGGGAGCTAGGAGGAAAGTGGTTGCCAATGTAGACTGACGCAAAAAAGTTGTTGAGAACTTGCGCCTTCTCCTTGTCCGTTGATACAGGTTCCCCACTGTTGCTCATCAGGGGGGGTATGTTTTCTTCAACCTTTCTTTTCTGGTTAATGTACCTGTAGAAACCTTTCTTGTTTTTTTTTTTACATCCATTGCAAAATTCAGTTCTAGCTGTGCCTTGGCCTTCCTGACCTCATCCCTACACAGCCAGGCAACATTCCTATACTCATCGCAGGATGCCTGTCCTTTCTTCCATTTTCTGTGTAGCTCCATGTTGCCCTTTAGTTTGACCAGCAAGTCATGGCTCAATCATGGTGGTCTCTTGCCGTCCTTGCCCAATTTCCTACATGTCGGGATTGAGATCTTTTGTGCTCTATAGAGAGTGTCCTTAAAGAACTGCTGGCTTTGTTCTACTCCCTTGTCCCTGTGGGCCGTTTCCCACTAGTAAATTGTCCTATTTACTAACTCCTTGAAGAGTTGGAATTTTGCTTTCTTAAAATTTAGAGTTCTAACTGTGCTTCTTGCAGGCTTCAAATTTCTTGGGACACTGAACTGCACTAGGGCATGATCACTGCAGCCCAGGCTGCCTTCAGCTTTGACATCCCTGATGATTTCACTTGCTTTTGTGACCAACAGGTCCAACAATGCATCTCCTCGAGTGGGGCTGTTAATTTCTTGTGTCAAGAAGTTGTCATCTAGGCACTCTAGGAGCCTCCTGGAGTGCCTGCAGCCAGCCGTGTGGCTTTTCCAATGGATGTCAGGGTGGTTAAAATCCCCCAGCATGATGAGGGTTTGTGATCGTGATGCCTACTCAAGCTGGAGTAAGAAGTCATCAACCTTGTATACATTCTTCTACATTACGTTGTATACATTCTTCTGAGTGGCAGCTACAATGTATATTTGTTTCCATTCCACAACTAATTAAAGCGTTTGGCTTTTGGGGAAAAGATACCTGGTTTGGTAGTCTGGGAATGTGTATTGGCTCTTGAAACACAACTCTTTTGCACATACTATTGTAAAGTTGATAGTTTTGGGGCTACCTAATCTGAAGAACTTTGAAGTTCCCAACTTGTTTCTCACATGCTGAAAAAGCTTCTTTTTGCTAAAAGGATATTGATAGTCCCATTGTTGTAGAGTAACAGAATATCTTTTTCTTTGAGTTAGATTTATTAGATAGTCATATCCTGATCTAGGTCTTTAAATGTCTCTCATCACTATGCAAAAACAAGGTTTTTAAGTAGTTAGGCTAGTAAATATAGTTGGAAAAATTAGACAAGCATTCAGGCATGCATACCCTTCTCATCACTAACAGCTGAGGACCTAATCCATGTTGGTTTTAGTTTGTTTTGATTTCTTCCTAAAATAGAATTTCAGTTGCTTATCCAACACAAATATTTTCTGTGTTACCTACTATGTGCTTGGTGTACAGATGGCTTGGGGGGCTGAATTGGGCTGCATTCTCTGTCACAATTACATAGTGATAACCTAAGCTTAAAAAAACCCCGAATGCCTCTGTAGTCTTCTTTTTGGCTTCGTTAAATTATCTTTTCCAGTCTGCTCACTTACAAACTCACAAACATGCTCTTAAAAATATAAGTTCCCAAATGAAGTCTTGCAATTTGAGTTTATCTCACTGAATCCGAAAGGAACATCTGATTTCCGCTGCAAGGTATCACTGTAATGATACTCTGTATCTAGTCAAAAAGCGAAGTTTTCTGCTTGCCACTTTCACACCTTCTGCCTGTTAGAACGCTGCTTACTTGATAACTACCAGCAGAGGGAGTGCGTTTATTGTGAATAAACCAAAAGAAAGTGGGCTAAATAGCTCTACTTTTCAGAAATTTTACAATGCCAAAAAATAATGTGTTCACACAACTGACTTGGAAAACAGCAAAATGATAATTCAGTGTAATTTTTATAATCTAGATTTGTGACAGTATCAAATATTTGGTCAGAAGTGCCTGATTCCCTGTTATTCTTTACCAGCATTATGAGGCAAGTGCTGTTCTTTGTGCTCTTACTCTGGTTGTGAGCCCGGGCAATTACAGTTTTGAGTTCCACCCAGCCAACAGAGGTGCAGAGCATCTGCACAAGCTGCATCTTGAAGCAGAATCTTGAAAGTGCTCTGTGACAATATATTCTGTTGGCTTCTAAGCAATATTGAAATCTATACTAGTGACGTTGTACTGTTGATTTTACAACTCGTCTTAACTTTTTCTTTGCTTTATTTTTTCCAGTTTTTTGAACTCTCTGTCACTATGGTATTCCTTTTTTAAAGCTTTGTTTATGCTTTCAAGATGATGGTGGGCCTTCACTCTGTTAATTAAAATTAGTTTACATTTTGATGCTAATTTCAGTGTTTACAAATTTACAACAGACCTGAACATCTTTTATTCTTTTATCTGAAATTCCTATGGAAGTGCTGATGTTCTTGAAATAGTCATTTTTTGAATTTTTCCATGCAGAGAGAAAACCTGTAGTGAAAGTGAAGATAGCTCAGATGAAGAGCTAACTGGTCCTTCCGTGAAACCCCAGACTTCCGCTCAAGGTCCAGCTGAGGATAGTGGTGATGATGATGAAGATGATGAATTCATTGGGCCACCACTTCCACCTGGGTTCAAGGATAGTGATGACGATAATGACAATGATGACACAGAGGAGGAAGATAATGTAAGTATTTTGTTCCTCTTTAATGCTTTGAGTAGACTCTAATTATGAAGTGTGCTCTTTATGATTGAATTTGCTGGTGAAGTATGACTGTTGTTTGAAATGCAGGGGCTTTGTGTTTTTTCTAATCGTTATTCAACAAATGCAAATAATTGTTTTCATTTAAAAGTACCAGGATTTTAAAAAAAAAGTATGGTTGTGAATCTCAAAGGAAATTCATCATCAATTAATGTACATTGTTTACTCATTTTTTGTTTTCACATTATTAAAGGACTATATAAATAAATATTTTATATGATGTGTTTCCTAATGCATGTGTAGAAGAGAAGATAGAGGTGGGCTCGAATCTCGGGAGAGCTGCTCTGAGAAAATGAACTGTGGCAATTGAGTGAATATAGATTGTCTTTTCTATCTATGTTAAATGCAAGAGAACCCCTGACAGCCAAAGTTGGGTATCACAGATCCTCAGCTGGCAAATCTTTCTTTCTATTTAGTTGAAAGTTTAATGGTTTGATGTTCATTCTCCAAAACTTCCTGGACTGAATATTTTATAGTAGTGGATTTTGTGTAATGATTTTTAACAACAATGATAGAAGTCGTTTAAAAAAGGCCTTATGCAGTTGTGAACCATTTGGTAACAGACAAAAACTTGTGTGTCCTGTTACACAAATATAAACTTAATACTAAAAGCCAAATTCCCTGGTGTCTCAAGGGTTTCTTGTCAATTCCTCTTCAGTTTTGACTGGGTGTTCAGTTTGGTTTTTCTTATCCTATAAAATCTCTTCTCTTGCATCTTGTGAACTTCTAAATATAAATTCAGATTACTCAAAATGAGTGAGAGGAGCTTCTTAAACAATGGCATAACTGATTTTTTAGAGTAAGCCTAACCTTTTGTGATCACAATTTTTTTTTTTTGGTTGGTTGATTTCCAAACTGAGTATCTCCAAATTGTTCTTCTTAATAATTAAGGGAATTTTGCATGTGTTAGAACATCATAGAGAATTTTGCTTAAAAAACACACTTATCAGATTAGCTAAATAATGGTGGTTCATCTTACATACCTAATTTTTTCCTGTAACTCATGCCAGAAATTATTTGAGTTTTGTTTTGCAAATGAGAATTGAAAGAAGTAGCTTGTGGTTTGACCATAATTTTGTTGTAAGGCTGGATTAAAATTTGGGAAAACTTTTCCACTGGTTCCATGGTCTGTTAGAGATGTCACTTTCTGTAAAATATGTATATACCTTTCCATTGAGTGTGCTGGCCATAGTCTTGCCTACTTGGGGTGAATTAGCAAAGTTATTCAGTTGCATCAAAGAAAGTTTCACAACATTCATCAAGAAAGCTATAGTGGAAGTACACTAAGTATTCAATGTCTGGTTTATTGCATGATTAGTGGAAGGCTGGCATCCTTTGACATCTCTTTTGTTGAGTAATTTTATTAGGTTCACATGAATCAGGAGTCCTATACATACTACTGTTCCAGTTTCTGGTATAATCATCTCTTTTGTCTCAGAAGTGAGTGCTGTATGGATTCCTGAATGTAATCATGTTCAAACTATAGATTAGTGCCAAGTAGTAGAAGACTCCTTCATTTATTCATATTTGTGGAATAAATGAGGTCTTGTAGGAGAAAGTGACTAAACGCTGAGCATAGCAGTGTGGGAGAATAGTGGTATTTAGTAATTGAGAAATTTCAGGAAGATGCATAACATCTCTTACGTCATAAAACTGTGTCTTTTTGGAAGCATTCTATATGTTCCATAGGACAGGGTAAGGATTTTAGCAGTAGAGGTAGTTTGTGAAGAGAAGAGGGAGGTATCTTCCACCTAATTTAAAATATATATTTCTTTTAAATCCCTCTGTGCTATAGTATTCTGTGTACCTGTTTTCGGTTGTCATCCATCAAAGATGTCCACACCTTAGCAGGGCTTTGCGCATTGAAATCTTTAAAATGCAGTCTATTATGCATGTAAACAATTTTGGAAAAAACAACTGGATTGTTACTTTAACTTGATGTCGGTCATACACCAATGAGATATGATTTTTTTTTTTTTTTAATTATATAATTGCTTGTATGCCTGTTATTTATGGATTCTGAACACAATTATTTTCATTGTCTCTCTACAAAGGTCAGTGGGCATCTTGTTCAGTGAAATTCTTGCTTTATTTCTGTAAACTTCTCTAGAATGCCGAAAACAATGTGTGAAAACAGCTGATTTTACTTCAACCTGTCTTTCTCAGAAATTGCTTTGTTTGCTGTTTTAATTTCTAGCAAGATTGTGTTGTTATTAATTTTTTATTTATATGTATTTGTATAATGCTACAACTGTCTCAACAAAGTGGAGTTGCTGGAAAAAACCCCAAAGAAAAGTTTCAGACAGAAAGGTAACTTGCAGACTGGTGTGATTTAAGTTCGTCTGAACTTAAGACAATAGTTACAAAACAGTCTAGAATAGATTTGGTTGAGAATAAGCAGAGCAGCAGAAATATGAGACTTGTGGGTTTTCAGTCTAAACAGTTAATTTATAACTGGGAAGATTTTGTGTCAGCGTGGATGCCAGAGGCCTTTGGGGTCTAGAGCCTCCCCTTACTGCTGCTCGTGAACTCGGTTAGTTTCTTTCCTGTGAAGGGAATCAGGAAGCAGCTGTGCTTTCCTGATTTCCTGTTGATCGATTGGTGATCACAGTACGATCCTGTGAGCCCCAAGGAAGGCAGGTGTTGCTGTTATGAGAACTCTGTGATTCCTTTTTCTTGTTTGTACATCAGGCTGTGGTTGGTATGCATGGGGGCAGAACTGGGAGAGGAGAAATGGAAAGCTCCATTGAATGATTCTTTTGTTTTGTTTCCAGATGTACGGTGAGACTGTCTCTCTTTTGTTATCATATTTTGCTGCTGAAGTAACTTCATTAAAACACAAGTGTCTTTATTTTTGACCCTGAAGGAAAAAAGTTTTTCTTTAATACTTCTATGAGCTGCAGTTCTGTAATCTGAAATCCTGTGAACTTTGTATAACATGAAATACACCAAAATACTGGCTTTACCCTGGTAGCTTTCCACTGTCTCTCAAGCCTGACTTTAGATGTGGTTTGTTTTTCCGCATTTGCTTGCTCCATTGTTTTTTTCTTTCTTAAGAGAGACTGTTGATAGAGACACTTGTCAAAATTCCATGCTATGAGGTTAGCATCTTTGAGTCTAGGGTTGGCCCAGGATTGCCCAGCTCACATTGGGTATTTTAGTGAATAATCATCAAGTGGAAGGAGTAGATGGTGGTTATCTTTGCTGGGAATTTTTCATACTTTATTGGTATTTTTATAGGAAAGTGAATAACAGCAGTTAATTGCTGAATATTTTTAATCAACACTGTTAGTTTTCGAGTATTACACTTTTCTGTAATTTACATATAATACAAAGTGCACATAATTTTTTTGAGGAGAGCCATAGATACTGCATATGAGTTACTTTTCTTCTCTGAATTTATGTAGTTTCATCTTTACTCAAGTCTGTGGTAGCTGCTGCAAAGCATTTTTATGTATTTGATTAAATTCTGTGTTAATACTGGTGGTAGTTATATTTAACAAATAAATATTTAGATTTAATGACATACTCATTTAGTATAATTCACTTCCGTTCGGTCCAGAAGTGATGGTTCTTAACAAGGCACAATATGCTTGTAAGTAGTTATACAAATATTTTACAGTGCTTGTTTCGAGTACATTTTAAGGATCATAGGTACACTTCGTATCAATTCCCTCGAGTATTTTCCCCTCGTTGTAGCTTTCCTTTTTATATGAAAAATGCATTAATTTGGGCAATGAAGAAAATGTGAAGAAGAGTTGCCTATTTGAATAGTGATCAGTGCAATCAACATCAAACCAGGTTGGAGGGGGAGGAGAGACTAGCCAAAGCACTCATGTCAGGGTTGGTGGGCAGGCAGCTTTAAATCTAGGACATAAGCATTTTTCAAGGTAATGGATGACACCTATTAAAATATAGTAGTAAGAAAGCATGTATCTACTAATCTTTACATGTCATTAGAAAATGTGCTGACGTCTTTAACAGAGCTTAATGGAATGTTAGCGTCTTGTGACACTTCTCACTTGAAGCGATGGGTATAGAGGTGGTGGTTGGAAGAAGTTGCTGGGTGGATTTGTAACGCTTTATCTTCTGTCTGGAGCTTATTTACAGCTGATTCTTCTTTGGAACGGAGAACTATTTCTCCCTTCAGTACCAAAGGGATACTAATCATGTTGTAATTATGTCCCTGAAACAAGTACAGCCTTGGGCCTCTCCAAGGCTGTACTCTGATTTGGGCATATTTCCAGAATGATAGCATAGCTGTATTCCAAGTTATAGAATTGTTTTGAGACACTTTTAAATTTTTGCAGAGGTTTAACAGGACATACCAGTAACACTCATTTGTTCGGAGTGGAAGAAAGCCATTTCCTGCTGATTTAGGTGGAGAATTTAAGTAGACTGTAATTGCTCCAATTAGAATTTGGCTATGGTACCAGGCTAAAAATCCTGGTGTTGTAAAAATAAAGAAATGTTATGGGAATTTTTAGTCATCCTAAGGAGTTATAACATTTATGCTGAAGATTTTCTGTCCTGGTAACTGCTAAATTTTATTTACCCAGTCATGTTTCATCTTGTCTAAAGAAGAAAAAGTGAAGTAAGCTGAACAAAGTAATTTTTGTGTGCACAATAGAGACAGAAAAGTGTGGGCTTGAGGATGAGAGGCATTATTTTTTAACTACTTCTAGTCACTGGTACAGTGGTGAAAAATAGGTAGCAATTACCATTGCTTTCAATTTCCTTTTGTGTTATCTCTATATATAATTATGAGGAAAAAACTTATGTCATATATGTGCATAATATGTTCTTGTGTCTTGGTAGTATTTCTGCTGTAAAAAATCAGGAAAATGTGTTTTCTTTATATTAAACTTGAAACAACTCATGGAAATTTTGTTAAGGATCATAGATGTCATTAATAGTGTTACAAA